TTATATCTTGATTGGAGAGGAACAAATAAGGTTTTTTCATTTCTCACATGTCAGCAGTATTTTAGTAGAATTATGAAGTCCATCTGTTTATATCGTGATTGGAGAGGAACAAATATGATCTGTTTATTTCTCACATGTTGGCAGTATTTTAGTAGAATTATGAAGTCCATCTGTTTATATCTTGATTGGAGAGGAATAAATAAGGTTTTTTCATTTCTCACATGTCAGCAGTATTTTAGTAGAATTATGAAGTCCATGTGTTTATATCTTGATTGGAGAGGAACAAATAAGGTTTTTTCATTTCTCACATGTCAGCAGTATTTTAGTAGAATTATGAAGTCCATCTGTTTGTATCTTGATTTGAGAGGAACAAATAAGGTTTGTTCATTTCTCACATGTCAGCATAATTCTACTAAAATACCATGGACTTTCTGTTTATATCTTGATTGGAGAGGAACAAATAAGATTTTTTCATTTCTCACATGTCAGCAGCATTTTATTAATGACACAAAAACCAGTAAGTAATAAAGGTGAAGACAATTGACAAGATGAAAAACATTTTTAATTACAAAAGCTTTGAATATTTCAGAATATACTCATTCCATCTTCAGTGAAATCTTGAAAATAATTTATAATTATATTTATTAACTAACAAATTTATTTAAAATATTCAATAAAGAGGTAAATGGAAATTACACTTTTGCACAAACACCTGTTAAACAATGGCTATCTTTCCAATCCAAATAACTCACAAAGTTCTGAGCAACAAATTCTGACTACTAGTTATCTTAGACACCATTCCAAAATTTCCCTTTCTTATCTGCTTTCCTTTTATGGCACACAGACTTTACTAATTAAAAAACAACTCCCATCCTTGAATAAAACCTTCTATCCTCAATTTCAGCTTAGACTAATATATAGGTCTAACCTCCATGTTAAATACTTCTTTCAATATAAAGATTAAGGACTGACACTCCTATACCAACAGCTGTTATATAACTATATACGTGGAGTGACTAAAGTCAAATACATTGGCAAAACAAAATGCCACTTAAAAACTAATGTCTGTGAGCATTTATGAGTTTCCATTAGAATTGGCCATCCATTACTTAAACCCAGCCATTCAGCTATTTGTTCACATGCTGAAACCATGGGTCACATTTCATATAATTATTTCTTCGTTGTTACTATAGGATATTCAGACCTTGAATGTTACATAAAAGAAAGCTTACTCATAAGCAAAAGACTACCCATGACTTACAAACATCCTTAGAACTACATTTATTCTAACTTCATTTAACATCCAGCTGTCTGTTAAATATAATTTATATTTATAACTTGATATCATCCTGCAACTTGTAATTTTTTTACTTTCATTACATATTCTATAATCTGTACTTCCTTCTGTTAACATCTTGACTACATATTTTAAGTAAATTAGTTACTTATGTTGGTATAACATTAGTTAATAAATATAATTATAATATTACTTCCATGTTTCACTGAAGATGGAATAAGTGTATTCTGAAATGTTCAAAACTTTTGTGAATAAAAATGTTTTTCATTTTATCAACCACCTTTATCTTTATTATTTAACAGGAAGACCAATTGTTTGTATCTTGATCAATATCTTTCAACAGTATTTGATTAGTAATTGAACAATGAATAATATCAATTAGCATATAGAATCCATTAATGATTTAATAACTTGTTAGAAGTTTAATCATGTGTTTAAATATTTTTATGTTGTTAGAATACTTAATATATCTATTTTTATTATGTTTAACATATATTTTGCATTGTTAGCTTAGTATATGGATTTAGAACTAACCTAGATTTTCTTAGCTGGTCAAATCTCTTGAGATATTATTGGGAGTATGTCAAAAAATATCACAACAGTGATGGTAACCAACTGATGAAACAATGCATTCTAATCTTGTTAAGCGAGAATGTAAGAAAAGTATGTGATCTATGTTGATAGCTCACTTTGATCTGAAGATAATATAAGTTACCACAATTGTTTTTTTATTGTACTACAGAGATGTTCACTTTAAGGAAATGCTGGACTTGTTGGCAATGTTGAAGAAAGGCCATTGTGATGGAGTCAAGATACGCACTGGAAGACTGCAGGTGCTTTAATTATTAGTGCCTCTTTTTAGAACAGTAAATATTGACACATAGAATAGCAATTATAACATTAAAAATAGTAACACATGTATTTGTGAAGGGGAAAAATTTAACCTATAGTAATGCATTTTAAGGTTAGCTTTATTACATGACTCCATTTTAGTAGCTAGCTGTGTTCATTGCATCAGTTATTTGTTATTGTGTCAGTTTGTCAGTGTCTCAAACCATTTCAGTATTGTGTTTTGGTTTTCTTCAACAAATCTAACATCTTCACCTAGAGATTTATTGTTCTTTTAAAGCAACAGAATTGAGTATCATTGTGTAAATAAAATTTACTGTCTTTCTTGAAACAGAATATAATTATTATCAAACACATATTTCTTTTTTCTCTGAATTAGTTCAGTTAAAAATTGCAGAGCAAACTGGGGGATTGAAACCATTAATCAAACTGCAGAAGAAAAATATTTTTACTAGAAAGAACTAATGTTTTGGCATATTCCTTTCTCAAGGGTTACAGCATCATAGATAAAAGTACAAACTAAAGTTCAATTATCAACAATAGCGGAAAATAATATGGGTAATCTAGACTCCAAGGAAGCCATTTCTGGATATTACCTCAAAAACATAACACAATAGATGAAACTTTCTTTTGATCAGACTTCTAGTCAGGTGAAATAAATCCTTTGACAGAAAATTTAAATAATATCTTTTGTTCCAATCTAATAAATCTACAATTAATAGAAATGATTCTTGGCTTCTATAAACAATAGTTTATATTTCTAAATAAAATTTATTATGTATATGCATATATCTATACCTGCTATAGAAATATATATTTATACTTATTAATATATGAATTTTCTTTTTTAATTTAACACTCATTTGTTTTCTTTTCTTTAAGCAATTAAGCCATTTTCATATTATTATGAAATATAATCTGTTACCTTGTGAAACTTCCATTTGTTAAACCATTATATTTATTTTTATAATGTGCTCCTTTTAGTTATGGTTGATACTTCAAACTTTAGTTTGTTATTTTGTCTGTGATGATGTAACCCTTGAAAAAAAAAGTGTTTTTTTTTTCTTCTAAAACTGAATATATCTCTCATCAATAAAATGTTTATTTTTTTCTGCAACAAACTGAAGCAGCACCAGGTTTTCTGTGGCTCTGGTGCAGCCTTGTAATTGGACCTCTTATATCATAGTTCAGTTTCATAGGAAATATAAAAGGACAATATACTGAAAAAATTAAGAATTACAGAATTTATTTAAAAAATCGTGTATAATACACTAGAAATACAAATATTGAAAATTTGGGGGGGTGCCCTCTTGCGGCAACAGAATATGAATAAAACTTCTTTTTCTCCATAATAGAATGTGACTTTATTATAATTTATCAAACATTTATTTCTTGTTTTTCTGCAACAGAATCTGATTTCTTCATCATGTATAGAACATTTGGATTTCCTCCACTTGCTTCCATCTGATCTTCTTCCAAAGTTTGAAGCATTTCAGCAACTTGAGCATACATCTGTTGGTTACCAGAGTTTGACAGATATACCCACAGCTGTTGTATACAGTGAGCCCACATATAATTTTGATGTAAGAGTAGTTTCCTTATACTGTAATCTGTATGTAACTATTATATTTCCTGGGATCTTGCTGTTCATTTATCAATTTGGTTTGTAGTGAATCTTTAATAGTACAGTTGCAATAACTTTTTTACACATAGTTGACTGTTCTCATATTAGACAGCTGGATGATTGTATGATAAGTTGGTGGTTCATCACATGACAGCTGGCTCATCACGTAACATACTACTAGTTGATCACATAACATGTAACTGGTTGGTCATATGACAGCTGGCTCGTCACATGAAATATTACTAGTTGGTCATGTAACATGCAACTGGTTAACTGGTAGGTCACATGACAGCTGACTCGTCACATAACCTACTGTTAGTTGATCACATAACATGTAACTGGTTGATCATATGACAGCTGGCTCGTCACATGAAATATTACTAGTTGGTCATGTAACATGCAACTGGCTGTTCATATGACAGTGATGGAAGCTGTGATAGATAAATATTTGATTATGGAAAACAGTAATGTGTATAGTACTATACAAGACAATGATTGAGACTTATAACAAATGGATGATGTTAATTGAAGTCATGATAATAAGATAAGTATTTAATCATGGAAGACAGTGCATTGCTATGTAAACATTAATGGCTTCTGCTTATTGTATTAAGCTAGTAAACATTGTTTATTTTGATTTTTGAGATGGCGTTAACTTCATTTTTGTTATTCAGTGAATGTCTTAATTTTATATCCCCTTGATCATTTTGAAATGAAGTACATCTCTAGATTCATAAAGTGTAATGTCTGGTGTATTATGCATTGATTAAAAGTGAAAGATAATAGAGGTTTGCTTACTGATATTGTAAAGTGTAAACTGATCAATTTACATAGCATAGATTCTTGGAGTTGTAAGATAACCCCTTTAAGCAAATGGATCTTTTTTTTTTTTGCGCAGAGAAATAAATTTTTCATATTAGATTTCTTTATAAGAAGAAAAAGGGTTTGAGGAGAAAAAGTAGTTTTGAAATATTGTTATTATTAAGCTTAATAAATAATTTTAAGTTACTGAGTAGCTAGGTTACTTTAGTAAATATATCAGTTATGTGAAGGATACATAACACAATTGTATGTCTGAGTATGAATAAGATATCAGCCACTGAAAGTTTATGTTTTATATAGGAGTTCCGAAACCGACCAACCTGGGATATTGTGGAAACTTTACATCAAACCACAACTTTACATGGTCAGAGCCAACTTCTTGGAATCTTGTGGTACAGAGAAGGTCCACAGTTTTGGGTGGATGGAAGTAAGCACTTAAAGACTGTGGGTGTACATACAGTTCTAGATTAGTATCAAAAAGCTAGCACTTCTAAAGTTATGTTTGTTAAGAGAGAAAAATCTTGCAACTATATAGCAATATCATGTGAGTTGTGTATATCATTGTAATTCAGTTTTAACTTGTATGTAAAATTTATCTTTTAAATCAAAACATTTTTTCACATCTTTTTTTTTTGTGTGCAATATCTACTTTTTAAGCCATGATAACCACTAAATGTCTTACGTAAAATATGGCTTAAAATACAACTTCCATAATAATATGTAGCATGTATTTAGTACTTGAACTTTAAGATAAAATTTCAAAACAGTTTTAGCTATTTTTACTTAAAAAAGATCTTTTTGGTGCAGATTTGTATATTTCAAATACATTAATGAACCTTGGAATCTTAAATACATTTAATTTAATGTCATACTCATTTTTCTCCTATTTTCATAAATACATTTCTTTTTTTTTTTTTTGAGGTTCTGCCTGTCAAAATTAATAATGATACTTGCATTGTAGTTTAACACACTACATCTAGTGCCTAGGTGGTGGCAAGTGAAATTTGTCTTGTAGTTTAACACACTACATCTGGTGCCTAGCTCCTGGAAAATCAAAATTGATAATGATACTTGCTTTGTGGTTTAGCACACTACACCTGGTGCTTAGCTTCTGGCAAATCGAACTTGGTAACAGTATTTGCCTTGTAGTTTAACCCTATGATGATGACGACGACATGTTTTGCAAGCAGGTTGTGTAACTCTTGTGAATGTTCTTTACAAAAATGAAAGTAGTAGATGAAACTGTTTGAAATTTGACAATAACTTTCCTAAAATTACATAGTTTAAAAAATAGAATATCAATTCCCTTTACAATTTTAAACACCTCAATCAGATCCCCTCTAACTCTTCTTTTGTCAAGAGAAAACAATTTGAGAGATTTCAACCTCTCCTCGTATGACAACCCTTCCATCCCAGACACCATTCTAGTAATCCTTCTCTGAAACATTTCCAACGATTCCAAGTAAGGTAAGGAGCCCAAGACTGAACACAATATTCCAAATTTGACCTAACCAGTGACCTATACAATGAATTATAACCCTTTAGACTTGCATTCAATATTTGTGTAGATACAACCTAAAATCCTATTTGCCCTACCACTAACAACAGCACACTGCTTGGATGGCTTTAGAGACTGATCAGCCATTACACGAAGATACCTTTCTTTCATGACATTGTTAAGGTTATTCCCATCCAAATGATACTTATAATTCACACTATGATAATCAACATGCATCATCTTGCATTTATTATGATTAAAACCCATTTGCCATTTATTTGCCCAACTCACTAAATGATCTAAATCCTTTTGTAAATCAGCAGCATCCTCTTCACAGCTAGCAATACCCAAGACCTTAATATAATCAGCAAATTTAAGTAACTTATTGACCATTCTTTCAACTATGTCATTGATGTAAATCAAAAAGAGCAAAGGTCCTAAGACTGAGCCCTGAGGTACCCCATATGTGACATTAATGCAGTTTGACTGAACTCCATTTGTAACAACCCTCTGCTTTCTTCCATCCAGCCACTGTTCTATCCAATTTGCTAACTTACCCCCCACACCTATAGATATAATTTGTTTACAAGCCTTTTATGTGGCACCTTGTCAAATGTTTTCTGAAACTCCAGATACACCATCATCTACATAAGCAGTAACCTTTTCAAAGAATGTCAAAAAATTTGTAAGGCAAATTTTCCCTTATTGAAACCATGTTGACTATCCAATAAAATTCTAAACTTTGTTAAATGACTTTTCAAAGGATCTTTTATCACACTTTCCAAAGTGCTTTTCACAACTGATGTAAGACTAATGCGTCTATAATTACTGGGACAATTTTTATCACCTCCCTTGAAAAGCAGAGTTACATTAGCTAACTTCCAATCCTCTGGTACCTGTCCACTATTCAAGGACTGACAAAAAATAGTAGCAAGTGGTTCACATATCCAATTTTTAACCTCCTTCAAAACCCTTGGGGAAATATTATTTGGCCCTGGAGCCTTATCCTTCTTTAAACTTTCCAGCTCAGAATTAATGCAGTCATCTTGTTCGATCTTTTTTTCATCTATCAATCATTCAAGATGTAGAATACCACTTAAATTATTGTTATTAAAAACTGAAGAAAAAGCAAAATTTAATAACCCAGCCATCTCATAATCATCAGATATTAGCC